ATTAATAATCCGGCCGCCGCAGAACAACCACGCCTTGTTATTGTTTGTGTTTGCCTGTTGAGGGTTTAGGGTCGAGGGTTTAGGGTGGGGGTTTCGGCCCAAAGCCTCAACCTTAAACGATTTAAGGTTTCGACCCTAAAGCGTAAAATTACGTACCAACACCCTAGAAGGAGTGTTGGGTGGCAAGCCCGAAACCCGCCAAATTTATTTGGGGGAGGGGGGGTTTGATCAGGCCACCAGCTGACCTACGTTGCACAGGGGGGGGGGGGAATTCCCATTATACAGGAGAGTGCATAATCGTGCTGGAACCCGTTTCCGTAGACTCCTCGTGCAAGCCCCCTCAGCCGGAACTTTGTAGATATTTTGACCGTAGTGCTGCCAAACTGAATGTAGATCTCTGCTCTCTCCACTCCTCCGCAGTATGTGTGCATGCTGCAGAGAAGTGTATAAGAGTACAACAAACGCATGTGTTTTCACTTTACTGTGTACATACGTATCTATACATACACACTCTTGTTAATATGTATATTTGCTACATGTGATTCTGTACTGCCTGAGCTTCTCGAGCGGCCGCTTTCTCGAGACACTCCGCCTCGTAGGCCTGCAAGCCCATGGCCTCAGCAGTCTGCCCAAGAACTTCCGACGGCTCTTCAGCACGTAACTGTTTAGGGTTCAGGGTGCAGGGTTCAGGATTTAAGGTTTAGGGTTTAGGGTGTAGGGTACTGCGCACATCAATCTGTAGGAATAAGTCTACAGCGACACGTTGGAATGTGCAGCGTTTCATAGCACAACACATAGCTCTATCTGTTCCATCTGCGTACTTGTAAATGTTACAAATAATACATATGTATATATGTATATACATACATACATACATACATACATACATACAGACACACGTGCTAGCAAATAACCATAGTCATGTGTATACACACACACACACCAGCTCTTGAACGCGCCTTGGCCCGTTCGAAATGACGCTCCTTTCGCCTGTGTGCACCACTCTGCAGGTGGACCTTGCAGGGTGAATGACGGATCTACGGTGTGAGAAGAGCCTCAGAAGCACCTCCAGCTGCTTTTCGGTGAGCAGGATCTTGTCAGGGCATAGCTGGCAGTGGTATTGCCCCCGAAACGTCTCCTCGTGTTGACCACGGATGGTGAGGCTTCCGGCTTGGGCGGCGCTCAATGCTCAAACCCAGGATCTCCTCTGCATCTGGCACAGGCGGATCGTCGTCGGAGTCATTGTCAGTGCTGCCCTCGCTGTCCTCCTGCAGCAAGAAGCTCGAAATCGAAAATGCAAACTAGGAATGTTTGCAGTCCTCATCCTCGCTCATGTCCTTTCTCTTTCTGCCTGCCGCTTAACCAGTGCTGTGGGGGAGTCCAGGTCTGCACAGCCCAAGATTCGGGAAACAGCCTCGCTGTGCTCCCGGGAGCAGACGCCTCAAATCGAAGTCAGCGATGTTCATCAATCAAAGTCATGAGTACAACTCTATGAGCGGTCCTTTCAAGCTTTTGCCGCTGGGCAGGGGTGACGTCATCGGAGTCGTCATCTTCCTCTGCAGCGCCCTCCCCACCGGCGAAAAGGCCAAGGGCGCGCTTGATCATGGCCAAGGCCCGCTCTGCACCTCTCCAGGAGAGTCTCTCTGTTGAGCCGAGGGCTTTCTTGCCGCCTCTTGATATTCCGAGCAGTATACAGTCTCTTCGAATAACTTCATGAACTTCAGTCACTCAGGTCGCGCGCGTGCATGCGTGAGTCCAGTGATTCTCTTGGGTCACACATTGCACAGCCATGAACGTCTGGACAGCAAAGCCTTACAAGTAATCATCTCTGGCAACAGCTCTAGTTGCTTTTTTCTGAAGTATGACCTGGCCATCGACTGAATATGCAAAAGTCCTGACCCTTCACGTCTTTCATTGAGAGCCTGAGCTCAATTTCCACAGAATATGCCTTTTCTATTGCATCGGACACGAGTTTGGTCGCCGAGCTCATCAAGCGACACTGTGCGACACTCACTAAATGAGGTCGACTGCAAAACCTGAAAGACCTGGCACATGCCATTCTCGCGACGTGCTCCATGTACCAGTTGATGCATGGCAAATTTTCGTGACAAAGACCTGCTATTGGAATGTTAACGGCATTCACTGCAATTCTAGCATCACGGCAACCGACTATATTGAATCTTCTTGTCGGAAGCTGTGCAGCACTACTTTCATCGGCTGGTACATAGTATGTCGAGACTGTCGCTTGAATCAGGGTTGGACATCAAGAAGATCGAATTCCTGCCCGATGCCTGCTTTGCATCTTCGACGCAAAGCTGCAGAATGACGTGCACTTGTGCAGTCCGCTGAGTACTGCTTGGCATGTTTGGAACATGCTTCCAAATGCAAGCCTCTTGCATTTTGGCTGCAAAACCGTAGTCCTTCGGCTTTTCGCCGCTCTGCCTGCGCTTTCCAAACCAAAGACCCCCAGCTCGAGAGTCGTTCTCGAGGGAACACCAGCTGTACAGCAAAGCATAGTGTAGACCTAACCGACCTAACCCAAGTCCCACGAAGCCATGAAGTCTCCTCAATCGCGTGAGATGGAAACCGCAGGAGACCAAATAGGAAGATTTGCCGGAAAGGCTGCAAGCAAACAGATGACCTCAGTAGCTGCAGGACCAACACGATGATCTTGAGCAAAGGGCAAACGCCGACACACCAAGATGGCTGTGATTCTGAAAGTCTACTATGTTCTTATGATCTTTTGCCGGAATCGAGTCACTTTAACTGCCTCCTGTCGTTGGCAGCGGTGGTAGCCACTGGCAACAAACCTTCAATCAGCCATGACTGGGAAAGGGATGCAGCCCTAAACCCTAAACCCTTAACCCTAATAATGTGTTGCACGTTTAGGCACGATGTCATGTGAGGCTCGCCCTCCCGCTACCAGCCTCCTCCACTCGCTCTTCGGAGTTGTAGATCGACTCCTCGTGACTGGTATGAAGTTCAACCCTTTCAAACCTAAATCATGCCGTGAAAACCACAAGAAACCCCGGTAGCAGTCCCATGCAGTGTGACCCGCAGCTTTCGCGTCCCCGAAGATTTTGTCCAAGGAGAGGCTAAGGGCCTTCAACTCGTGCTCTTCAGCGCAGCTCAGGCATGGAGAAAGCGTGCCCAAACGGTTCAAGCCTCAAGCGGATAAACTACGCCGAAGGACCTCGTCCAGCATCTTGGGGATCATCGATAGCAGAAGGCTGCAGCAAGGGTCCAGGCTCGGGTTGGTGTTCACCTGCCGCGCAATGGGAAACAGGTCGTCAGCAATGCGTACGAAGCAAAAGTAAACTAGACTTAGAAGAGGTAACTCCTCGTCGTAGGTTATAGTAACAGCCGACTTCGTGGTAGAAGCAGCGGGAGTAGTCGTAGTCGTAGTCGTAGTAGTAGTAGTAGTAGTAGTAGCAGTAGTAGTAGTAGTAGTAGTAGTAGCAGCAGTAGTAGCAGCAGCAGTAGTACTACTACTAC